CAGGACCGGCCTGGTAACGCTTAGTCATCAAAAAAGTACGAACTTTCGGTTCTAATCCACGCTTTCACTTATTAACTGTGTGATCAGGACAACCCGCTTAACTTCAGTGAGCTCATTAATGTCATCTGGAGTCAACGATGCCTACTCTAGGAGTGAAATAAAGATAAATGCATATAAAGCCCGCAGCATAGTCTCTGGCACATTGTAGGCATTCAGTAACTCCACCATCAGGCCGCCCGGGTCCTGGCCCCGGTCCCAAGGTCAAATTCACTCGGAGAGAAAGGTCACTCCGGGCAGCGGTTGGAGGGGCACTGGCTCTTCACCTTACCAGCGCCCAGTAGGGACCTCCCCAGACCGCTAGGGCGCGCCACGGGGGCTCACGGAACCACCGCCTTCACCAGGGGCGTGGATGCACCGGCCGCGGCCCTCCCCGCGGGCCCCCGAGGGGCGGGACTGCGGACCGTACCATCTTCCACTATGGGGGAGGTAGAGCGCGCCCTTCCCTTTGGTCGCACGCCCAGAGCGGGCAAGTGGGGGCCGCCGTTCCCCCAGCTCCCTGGGGCAGGACCCTTATACCCCTCGTTCTCGCATCCCCTGAGATCCGCGCGCGGGCCGGCTCTGGAGGGCAGACCCCGGGGCGGTGCGCCCCCCCGGCGTGGGAGCGGGTGGGCGCGGCGAGCGCCGGGGGCGGGGCCCGTGGAGGTCGGCCGTGTCCTTGCGGCGCGGCGAGGGGTAAGCGTGTGTGTACGCCGGGCGGTCGGCGCGGCCACTCGGTCTCTGAGGTGTAGTCCGCGGGCAGAGCTCACCATGTTGTCCCGGGCAGCGCGCAGGTGAGGCGCCCGGGCCGCGTAGCGCAGCGGAGACGGGTCACGGCCCCGAGGGCGAGAGGTCCGCCTGCCTGCGTGCCCGCGCCGGCGCGCCGGGTCCCGGGCACCTTCGAGGCCCCGGGGTCGCGGAGAAGCGGCGGGCGGTGGTGCCTGAGGGCAGGTGTCCGCCGAGCGCGTCCGGGTGCCGCCGCGGCACGGGGTTGCCGCGTTGGTGTTACGCGTCAGGGAATGTGGAGGGGGAGCGAGCAAGCGGTAGAAAGGCCCAGGTGGCGCTGGGTCTGCGTAGATGCGTGAGCGAATCGGTCCGTGTCCCGTGTCTGCTCTTTTTGCAGCGCGAGCAGGACGCTGGTGCCGGCGTCTGGGTCGCTGGGTTCCAGGCAGAAGCACAGCCTCCCCGACCTGCCGTACGATTATGGCGCCCTGGAGCCTCACATCAGCGCCCAGATCATGCAGCTGCACCACAGCAAGCACCACGCGACCTACGTGAACAACCTGAACGCCGTCGAGGAGAAGTATCTGGAGGCGCTGGAGAAGGGTAGGTGCGGGGCTGCCGGGCGCTGAGCGAGGCGTGGCCGCGGGGGAGCCAGGGCCCTTCGGTGCGGGAGAGCGGCTCCGCGTGTCCTGGGATCCACGCGGGGTCAGAATTCGCAAGGAAAGCGGTCATTTTGTGCGAAACTGAAACAGGCTTGTGTGTATCTTCTGGTATTTAGAATTCAGTATTATGATAGAATACGGACTTACGCTTTTCTTTTTTCCTGAAGAGCCCAGTGGACCAAACCAGTAAGAAGTGTGTGGACTTTGTGTGTCTGGGGCGTGCGCGTACGCGAATCTGTGTTTTAATGTCTCTGTGCAAAATCGTATTACACTTTCCAGCCCGTTCATCAGTGGCTCGCACGAGAAGAGTGATTAACAGGTACCGCATAATAACCTGCCCGGTTAGAAGATACTTTGTTTCTTTATTTTTATGGACTTTAGGTCCTCTGAAATTTGCTGAGTAAATTTCAGACCGTGACGTCTTGTTGACTGGGGGCATCTAGTGGGAAAATGTAGTATTTCAGCCTCATTGCATGAGGTAATTGGCTAAACAGAAACAAGAGGAAGTTGCCACATTCTGGAAGATTTGTGACGGGAACCTTTTTGGAGGGGCGAGGGGGGGTAGTTTCATGATTTGTACGGGAAAGGGGTTTTAGAAAATAACAAAATCGGGAAAGATGTGCTAATAATGACAAGGTGGGGAATATCCCAGTTGCGAAATTATTTCCTGCATGACAACGCCTGACAACGTGAACCTTTCTCTTCAGTATTTTAAAAACAACTTAATTTCAGTCCTTTTCTTGTGCAATCACATCTTTACTTGTTTTCTTGAAAGTTACTGAAAAAAAAAACCTGTATATTATGTTGTGTTATATTGAGTATAGATTAATAAACACCGGTAGAGTTTTCTGTTATTTGAAAAATTATATATATTAAATACTGTTGAAGAACTAAATTTCCATGTTTGAGAATTTGGGGCGACAATATTAAGTGAAATAACATCATCAGTCTTGTTACAGGTAGGTAAATAAATACTTTTCAACCAAAAGTATTTAACTTCTATTGTACTTAACAGGAAAAAAATTGAATTGAAACTGAAGAAAATGTTGAACTTAAGAATAGTATTTTTATTTTTATATATTTACTTTTTTAAAGATTTTATTTATTTATTTGACAGACAGAGATCACAAGTAGGCAGAGAGGCAGGCAGAGGGAGAGGAGGAAGCAAGCTCCCTGCCGAGCAGAGAGCCGGATGCAGGGCCCCAACCCAGGACCCCGAGATCATGATCTGAGCTGAAGGCAGAGGCTTTAAGCCACTGAGCCACCCAGGCTCCTCAAGAATAGTATGTATGTATGTATGTATGTATGTATTTATATTTTTAAAAGATTTTATATTTATTTGACAGACAGAAATCACAAGCAGGCAGAGGCAGGCAGATAGAGAGGAGGAAGCAGGCTCCCCGCCGAGCAGAGAGCACGATGCAGAGAACACAATGCAGGGCTTGATCCCAGGACCCTGGGATCACGACCTGAGCCGAAGGCAGAGGACTTAACCCACTGAGCCACCCAGGTGCCCCAAGAATAGTATTTTTTTTTTAAAAAGATTTTATTTATTTATTTGACAGAGAGAGAGAGATCACAAGCAGGCAGAGGCAGACAGAGAGAGGGAAGCAGGCCCCTTACTGAGCAGAGAGCAGGATGCGGGACTCAGTCCCAGCACCCCGGGATCATGACCCGAGCTGAAGTCAGAGGCTTAACCCACTGAGCCACCCAGGCGCCCCAAGATTAGTATTTTTAAAAGCAGATTGTAATACCCCCCACATTTCTGTTATTATTACTGTTTTTTTTTTTTTTTTTTTTTAAGATTTTATTTATTTGTCAGAGAGAGAGGGAGAGAGAGCGAGCACAGGCAGACAGAATGGCAGGCAGAGGCAGAGGGAGAAGCAGGCTCCCTGCCGAGCAAGGAGCCCGATGTGGGACTCGATCCCAGGACGCTGGGATCATGACCTGAGCCGAAGGCAGCTGCTTAACCAACTGAGCCACCCAGGCGTCCCTGTTTTTTTTTTTTTTAAGATTTTTATTTATTCATTTTTGACAGAGAGAGAGACAGTGAGAGAGGGATTGCAAGCAGGGGGAGTGGGAGAGAGAGGGAGAAGCAGGCTTCCCACCAAGCAGGGAGCCTGACACGGGGATAGATCCCAGGACGTTGGGATCATGACCTGAGCCAAAGGCAGACGCCTAACGACTGAACCAGGCGCCCCCTATTTTTTAATGTAAACTCTGTTCTAGTATGGCGCTTGAACTCAAAATCTCAAGATTGAGTCATATCCTCTACCAACTGAGCCAGCCAGGGACCCCACAAATTTGTATTAAAATTTATTTATTTATTTATCTATTCAATTTATTTGAGAGAGAGAGAGAGAGAGAGAGATAACACAGGCAGGGAGGAGGGGCAGAGGGTGAGGGAGAAGCAGCCAAGCAGGGAGCCCTCTAAGCAGCTTGGTCCCAGGACCCTGGGATCTCCACCCAAGTTGAGGGCAGATACTTAACTGACTGAGCCACCCAGGCACCTCTGTATTAAAATTTAAAAATAACGAAGTAGGGACGCCTGGGTGGCTCAGTGGGTTAAGCCTCTGCCTTCGGCTTGGGTCATGATCCCGGGGTGCTGGGATCGAGTCCCGCATCGGGCTCTCTGCTCAGTAGGAGGCCTGCTTCCCTCTCTCTCTGTCTGCTTCTGCCTGCTTGTGATCTCTCTCTCTCTGTCAAATAAATAAATAAAATCTTTAAAAAAATGGTGAAATAAACTTTGAGAGGTTGTGATTATTAAGCTGGTTTTCAATAACCATGTTTCTTTCCCATTAGAAAAATTTAGTTACTGTTAATTTATTAAAAAACAATATAAAATCTACATTTATTTTTAGGGTGATTTTCCTGGAATAATTTCTAAGAGGGACACTGATCTATACTAAAATTATCCTGTGAACATAATAACAAGAAGTTGGCATCTTTAAACAACTCTCCAAGATGATCTGTGTATTCTGAGATCACTTGGCCCGTTTCTCCTCTTTGAGGTATGCCCTAAGAGCAGATTAGAGAACTTTTTCTATTATGTAAACTCCCTAAGCACACAGCTCTCAGTGGTTCTTGTGTCTTCCACTTTGTCTCTTAGTATCTTGTGAATAATAAGCACTTGGGACTTAATTGAACAAGGGAATTGCCATTTTCCCTAATAGTTAATCTTAGCTACTTAAAGGCATGAAAAACAATATTTTATTTTGCTTTCTTATTAGCAAGGTAGGAAAAAAGTTTTCCAATGTGACTTTTTTTGTATAGATATCAGAGAATTAATATTTTTTCCATGAATACTACATTTAATATATTCTTTTATCTAGTCAATCAAACATTTATTGACTGCCTGGTATGTAGAAGGCGATATATATATATATATATATATATATATATATACACACACACACACACATATATATATATATATATATATTTTAAGATTTTATTTATTTACTTGAGAGGCAGAGAGGCAGGCAGAGAGAGGAAGGGAAGCAGGCTCCCCGCTGAGCAGAGAGCTGGATGCGGGGCTCGATCCCAGGACGCTGGGATCATGACCTGAGCCAGAGGCAGAGGCTTTAACCCACTGAGCCACCCAGGTGCCCCTAGAAGGCGATATATTGGCCCCTGGGACATAGCAGTGCACTGAAGTCCTTAATACTGGAGCTTTTGTTCTAGTGGGGAGACAGATGGACAAGTAAATATGTAGTGGTATGCCAGGGCCATAAGTCCTATCAAGAAAAACAAGTTGGGGAACTGTTGAAAACTGCCCATTTGTATTGTGGTTTGTGAAGGCTCCACTGATGAGGTTGACGTCTGTGGAGACACGAAGGACAAATGTGGGAATGAGCCGGAGGCTCTCTTCAGGAAGAGTATTCCAGTCCAGGCAACGGCAGTCAGTGGAAACCCTAAACTGGGAGCAGGCTGAGCTTCTTTTGTAAGTGCAGGGAGGCCGGTGTGGCTGGAGCTGGGCCAACAAGGAAATGCAGAGTCAGATGACATGCACCTCGCAAGCAGATTGTAGGGACTTGGGGGTCACTCTGAGTGAGAGGAGCAGCCTTTGGAGGGGTTTGCCTAGAGGAGTGCCTCAGTAGTGTGGGGTCTAGAGGAGCTCTCTGGCCAGTGGTGAGAACAGAGAGTAGGGGGCACGTGTGGAAGCAGGAGACCGTTGTGGGCTATGGTGGCACAGATGCAGGTAGGTGATGCTCCTGGTCTGCCCCAGAAGTACGAAGAAGGGATTGGTTCTGGATCTTTTTTAAAGGTAGAGCTGGCTTTGCTGGTGGTTACGTTGGTGGGGTGAACATGGTGTGTGGGGAAAGGAGTAAGAAATGACCAAGTACACAGACCTGTACCCCTGAAACAAATAATACAGTATATGTTAATTAAAAAAAGAAAGAAAGAAATGACCTAGTTATCAAAAATGTCCTGAGAAAACAGCTGGCACTTGCTGGGATGGGGAAGGCTATTGGGTAAGTTTGGGAGTGAAAATCCGGAGTTGGGTTTTGAATATGCTGAGTTTCTTGTTTATGGAACATTGAACTATTTGTCAATGAAGTGTTGTCTATCTAAAAAATGAGAGTTGAAAGTCTACCATTTAAAAAAGTGGTTTTATTTGTTTTTAGTAATCTCTACCTCCTGTTACGGGGCTTGAACTCATCACCTCAGGACTAAGAGTTGTGTGCTCTCCTGACTGAGCCAGCCAGGTGCCCCAGAAAACTTACCATTTAATCTGTTTATGGAACCACGCATATCCTCATTTCACTGTTTTCGATCTTTGTTTTCATTATTGCTGAAATCTTTAATATCCAAGAAAATTTTGAGTTCTTTGGAGCTCAGGAAAGAATTTTCTGCATGTACCCCCTTGCTGAGCCACTCATGAGTTGTTCAGGACATTAATTGAACTGAAAATCCACCGGGACAAACAATTTTTGAAGAAAATTTTGTGTGTGTGTGTGTAAATTGTAGAATTTTAGGACCAATAGGGATGTTACAAATAAGCTAGTCCAATTATCAGATGCTTTTCCAAAGAAAATGGTATATAGAATGTTTGAAAAGTGAGAATCAGAAAAAAAAAATGTTTGCCTCTTTTACATTACAGGTGACGTTACAACTCAGGTAGCTCTTCAGCCTGGGCTCAAGTTCAATGGTGGAGGCCATATCAATCATTCCATCTTCTGGACCAACCTGAGCCCTAAGGGTGGTGGAGAACCCAAAGGTTGGTAGATATTGGTGTAGTCTTAGCTACGTTTTGTGCACAACAGCAATGCCGGTTGCTTTTCTTAAGTTAATTCTTATGTTATTTAGTGACATATTTTTCATAGCAAGGAGTATAACAAAGTTATAACTTTGAATGGGACATGGGTAGGAATGGAGACTACATTCAGGTAGTTATGTCATCAGCTTTTTTGTAGACACACAGAGTGTCAGATATGGTGTCAAGTTCTGGTTGAAATGTACTGTACTTTACATCAGAACAATACTGGCAAACGGATTTTAGAGAAGTTGAGCAAGCTGGGGGTGGGTCAGATACTTAATCATTCTGTACCTACTTTCTTCATCTGTATGACACAGGGACGATAATAGAGCTGTTTTGAAAACTAAATAAGTTATCAAATGTAAAATGCTTAGAATAGTGCCTTTTGCTGTTATTTTCCTGCTCTTCCTAACTGATAAAAAGCCAGTTGTCCCAGAAAATGAGATTCTCCAGGACACCTGGAGGGTAAATGAGGCGGCTGCAGAGCCAATGGTCTGTTCACTCTGGTGGGTTTACTTGACTTCCTGTATCTCTTCTGGAGGCCCAGATGACTTAATTACCCTCCTCATCCCGGGGAACAGATGGGGCGGAAATAGAGCTCTCCCCGTCTCTCGGCTTGTGGCATACATCTTAAGTTTCTGTGGATTTGTGCCTCTTCTAGTTGGCAACGGGAGAAGAATTAGGCACAAACAAGTCAGCTGCAAGAGATTGGGAGCAGGGGACGACAGTCGAAAAGACGGCTGCCACAAGCAACTCCACAGTTTCACTTTTATTGGATAGAAACAATAGCCAACAGAAGGACCGATGAAGGTCAAACGTTAGTCATGTCTGGCAGACAAGCAAGGAGGAGGATAAAGCTCATAGTTAACCAAGCACATTCAAAGGACTCATCTAGGGACGCCTGGGTGGCTCAGTTGGTTGGATGACTGCTTTCAGCTCAGGTCATGGTCTCGGAGTCCTGGGATCGAGTCCTGCATCGGGCTCCCGGCTCCACGGGGAGTCTGCTTCTCCCTCTGACCTTCTCCTCGCTCATGCTCTCTCTCACTGCCTCTCTTTCAAATAAATAAATAAAATCTTTAAAAAAAAAAAAAAAAGATTTTTCAAAGGACTCATCTAACTAACAACAGGGGCTTCTGGGAAGAAAAAGGAGCGATTACGGACAAGGGAAGCAGGCGGTTTTTGTTCCACCCTGAGCTGACCGGGCGTTCCCGGCTGCTCGGCTTCTCTGAAGCAGGCGGTGTTCCATCCTGGGCGGGCCGGGCATCCCCAGCTGCCCAGCTTCACCGTCGTATATTGTCCTTCTCCCCAAAGACCTGTTGGCCAGTATATGTATTTCTTAAGGCCATATCTGAATGTGCTTGGCAACTAGTAAAATCCTCCAGGGGTTATAGTTTAAGTAACAAATTATTCCAGGGGCAGTAGCAGATTTGTTTGTTTTTAATTGTTTTTTGGAAGTCATCTTAGGTGCTTGTACTAAGCTATTTCATTTGGAAGTAAAGATTAAGGGAGAGTAAATATGGCAAGCTGGGCATTTCTTTTTATGGGTTAGGTCTGCAGATGGGTTAGGTCTAATACGAGGTTTTGGGATTAGTAGAATATCATATATGCCCATATTTAGCCAACAGGTCTTGGTTCTCTGACACTTTGGGTTATCTGTACCATTTTATTATTTGTGCTTGTAATAGGTAATTACTTTAAACTAGTAGAATCAGAGAAGTGATATTTTTGGCCTACTTGATTTGATGTGCTCAATCTAGAATTGTATGTTACATTGGTACAGAATAAAAGGACTATTGCTCTTACAGTGTACCCTTTGGTAATAAAAGACAAAAATCACTGTTTTTAAAATTACATGATTGTGATAGGAAAGATCTTGACTGCCTTGGGGAAGAACCAAATAACAGCCATAAAATTTTATTCCCAAATTGAGACAGAACAGGTAGGGTAGAAGTTGAAGTAAAATTTTCTGTTGAAGGGAAATGAAACTAATGGAAAATATTATTTCTTTTCTGATGGGAGTAGCACAGTGAGGAAAGAAATCCCCCTAACATGGTTCAGTAACACCTGAATTACAGTTGTGAGACCTTATGATGCTAGTGTCAGGGAAGGAGTAATGTTGGGGCTCACTGGGTTATGTTATGTTTTCCAGGTGTTGTCTAGTTGGTATCTCGTGCCTCATGACAGGCACATTTTAATATATGTAATAAAATTATTTATTGTTGCAGTATGTTCACTTGTGGGTATTTTTGGATTTTTTTTTTTTAATAGGAGAATTGCTGGAAGCCATCAAACGTGATTTTGGTTCTTTCGACAAATTTAAGGAGAAGTTGACCACTGTATCTGTTGGCGTCCAAGGCTCAGGTTGGGGTTGGCTTGGTTTCGATAAGGAACAGGGACGCTTGCAGATTGCTGCTTGTTCTAACCAGGATCCACTGCAAGGAACAACAGGTTAGGTTTGAAAATTGTTTCATATTCATTAGTGTGAGATGGTTCACAGTAAAGCATTTACCTTGAAATAAGGGACACGAGCAGTGATTAAACCTATCTTGAGCATGTCCTAATGTGAGTAAATCTTAACAGCTGATAGTACTCTGAGTCTCCTATGAACAAAAATGCTTTAAGAGCCCTTGATGTTTTGCAAATTAGCACATGTAATTTTACAGATACATTAACAAAACATGTTTTGAACATAAACTCTGCTTCATTTGACAGAGAATGCATACCAGCTTACATAATTACATGCACTGAAATTAGATAAAACACCACATAGGAGAATAAGACCTGGAAGCCAAGTCTGACCTCAGACCTTAGACTGTCAGCCCGTCTGCTGAGCACCTGTGGTCAGAGTAGAACTGGAGCTCAGATTTCCAGAATTAGATGCCTTTTGGGGGGTTTTGGTTTTGGTATAGGAAAATATTTGGCTTAGAAGCTCCAGGCTGGGCTCACCAAATCCTTTTTCATGTTGAGCCGGATTGACTCAGAATGTTTTTAGGAAATAGTCACAAGACTTCCAGCAGTTAGTTGGAACTTTGATCTGCAGTGTAACCGACCTGCAGTGACATTTCAGTGTCCGTAACCAGTAGTTCTCAGCCCCGTTGTCTGCCTCTGTGCATGTCCACAGACTTGCTTACGTCCCTCACTGCCTTAGATACATTCAGAATTAGTCAAGATCTAATGGCTCTTTTGGCAAAGTGAGATGCTAGAGAATGCTGTGGAGAGTCAGGTCTCTTTGAAGGTGCCTGACAGACGAGGCTGTGATTTCCAGGTAAACCCTGGCCATACCTGTTTCTCCTCCACTTGAGGAAAGCCCATTGGAATGAAAATCTGTGAAAGTCATGGCAGCATATAGAGAGGAAAAATCATTTATGAACTTTGTTACCTTAATTACTCATAATACATGATTAGTGACAAACCTCTCCACTGCTCAAGACCTACTGGTTGGTACTTGTTTTCCCGGACGAGAGCTGTCATTTAGTTTGAGAGTTTTTGAAAATAAGTGTTGTAGAAGTAATTCCTTCTTTACACAGTGTCTCTTTTTCTTTGGTCCTGTTTAGTTTCCCTTGTTAACTTATTCTTTCTGTTAGTGTCTCACAAATGTTCTGTATTCTCTGAGACTAACATTATTAGCCTTGGGAGCAGAGCAGGTTGTCCTAAAACTCCACTGACTGCTTCGGAAGGTCCTTAACCACCCCCACAAACATAGTACCTTATTGACCCCCCCCCCCCAAACAATTGGCTCATGGGTAGATTTGCTGGTATTTCAAGAACAGCTCTTAAAATATTATACTTAATTTTCCAAACTCTATTTTAAATTTTTCACTCTTTATCACATTTTCTTCCAAAGACTAAAATAAAAAAAAAAAATTATATTTATTCTTGGCAAATTTCCTGTTTGTAAAAGAAACTGAAAAATGGATGGGAATGTTATAAAGGGCAATTTTGTGTGCATAGAAGAAAGTTTAAGTCATATTTTAGATTGAAATTCATAGTTTCTGCTTTTTCTCCCTTCTCTCCAATAGGTCTTATACCACTACTGGGGATCGATGTGTGGGAGCATGCTTACTACCTTCAGTATAAAAATGTCAGACCGGATTACCTAAAAGCTATTTGGAATGTAATCAACTGGGAGAATGTAACGGAGAGAT